GTCCACTTTCAAATTCTATCCTTCCAGCCTTAAAACATGCGGAATTCAGCCGTGTTGAATTTCTTTAAGTTTGCACTTACCTTCGGCCGCAAACCACCACATCACAACTTCGACCTCCCCGCCGATCTTGCTTGGAATAACCAATTTTGGCTAGACTTCTATGGCCATTCATTTGCTTTCTATTTCTATTTCATTGATTTTAGGATTTAGACTGTTCATAGGAAATTTTATAGAGTTTAAGCTGCTGACAGCAGTTTGATTAATTGGCATTTAGGGCTAGCTGCCCACTGCGTTCTTAGTTCTGCTGAAACTGCAAAATTAGACAAATATTCATTTCACATAGCATATCTGTACTTAGCAAACAATTCTTTTGCGTAGCTTTAGCCAGTGATTACCTCGTAGCTTTAGCCAGTGATTACCTCATTGGACAGGTAATATTCAAATGTTGATGGTCATAACACACACCAGGGACGATCAGAAACGGCCAAAATGCTTTCGTTGATAATCAGCAGGAGGCGAAACAAAGATTTGCTGATGCGCAGTAGTGCATAACTATTCGGTTGATCCACCACAGATTACTAAGTAACGCATTTTTGGTTGCATTAGTTTAATAAGTTTCGTATTCTCCTTTTCCAGGATTCTGGTAATATACCGGATGCCATCCAGAGTTATTCTACGGCGTTAAAACTGAAGCCTGATTTCCCGGATGCTTTCTGCAATCTTGCACACTGCTTACAGGTTCATCTTACTTTTACCTCCAAAGCAGTCTGTCTTGACAGCTCGATATTTTGATTTTTTGATAAATTTTTAAGTTTATTCTGGACTTGTTATGATAGTTTTTACTTTCTTTATTCTTTCGTGTTCACTCGCTTTTAATCATTGACCACTGCAGAGAGAAAGCCAGTCTTTTTACCCCATGATCTATGTGATGAGCTTTTTGCCTACAGCAGTACTAGTTCACAAAGCAGTTAACATTTCCTTCTTACAAGTACATTTCCCTCCCCTTTTAATATTATCATCCGCGTACGCTCGAGTCCTGCGTACGGATGCTTTAGAAAACTATGCAAATTTTCCGGCGGGAAAGTGATATCAGCAAATACAAGAGATAGAAGGTTGAAAATTTGCAGGTTTATGACGAATGTGAGTGATTAGGCGAACACGGCTCTTGACTTCAACATGACAGACATGCTTTTTCCATGCCTTAGAAGTCGAAACGATTACTCGGAGACTTACTAATTACTCTAGAGACGTTCGCAGCCATCGTGGACTTTTTGCTTGGAGGGCACTGCGAGATTTGGTATAATGGCTTTTGATTACCAGTGATCTGATTCCTCAGTGGATAAACTTTTTCTTGCGTCCTGTTGATTCATATCGATTGTAAATTGGTACTGGCATCTGCTTGGGAGTCAAAATAGTCATCAGCTGGCCTATAAGCGACCCTCAGATGAGGTTGCTTGCAAACAATCTGATAGCTGGGGGAAGCGTTTTGTTGGTATTGTCAGTGGATGATTGCCTTGGTCGTATACTCTGTTTGAATTACTTTCGAATGCCACATCCTCTGGCTAAGAGTGAAAGGTACTGATTTTTTTCCGGTGCCTTTTTGCAGGTGTATTTGGCATAATTTCAGATAATATGCGATTGGACAGATTATGATAATCGGATGAAGAAACTGGTGGCAATTGTGGATGATCAGTTGCAGAGGAAGCGTCTTCCATCGGTGCACCCTCACCATTCGATGCTTTATCCATTGACACATGCCACAAGAATAGCTATTGCTGCAAAGCATGCACAATTGTGCATTGAAAAAGTAAGTGCATTGCACTTATGCTTTTTCACATTTTGCTTATATTTTGGGTTTTGATATAGTTTCTGAGTTGATTAATTAACTTTTTCTCTTGAATATTTGTACAAAATT